TAGGCTGGCCTTGAACTCACTATGTAGGCTAGGCTGGCCTTGAACTCACTATGTAGGCTAGGCTGGCCTTGAACTTGCAGTGATGTTCCTGCCTCAGCCTCCTGAGTGCCAGGATTCCCAGTGTATGCCTCCACATCTGGCCAGACTATGATGTCAAGTGAAATAAATCAGACACACAAGCTTAAACATTGCATGATTTCTCTTATGCACAAAACCCAGAGTAAAATAAAGAGCAAAATAAAAAATAGATAATAGAAGTAGGGAGATAGATTATTCTCAGCAGAGAAAGGGATCAAGAGATGGAGGGAGGGAAAATGCAGGAGAAGAATAACGGGTGAAAGAAAAGGAATTATGATGTGTCAGATACACGTGCCAGCTCCATGCAAGGAAGGTAGATATTCTGTATGCATGTAGTAATAAACTAAAAAGGAACAAGAAAAGAGCTGGGGTTGTGGCTCAGGGTGAAGGCCTTGGGTTAAATCCTCAGTACCATCAAAAATAAAACAAGACCAGAGAAACAAAAACGCCATCTGGGAGAGAAGATCAGAGAGGAGCATGGTGAGCTTGGAATCCTCTCCCGGCTTCCGTGGCGTGAGGGTGGCCCCTGTTCCTCCATGATGGTCTCAGAGGGAGAGAGTGTGGGCCTCCTCGCGGGGACCTGTTCCCCTACTCCTTTGCTTTTCTTCCCTTTCTTCCCCCCCACCCCCCGCAACCAGGGATTGAACTCAAGCCCTTTTGCTTGCCACAAAAGCACTTATTCTACTGAGCCATCTCCCTGGCCCCTTCCCTGTCTTTCTGAATCTGCCTAATGCTATGGGCCCCTCACGCCTCTGACGGCCCAAACCCGAAGTTTCTCCTGTGGCATCTGGCATACTCTAGCCAGTCATTTAGTCATGTGTCACTTAAGCTCTTGGCTGTGCACACACACAAACACACACACACGCTTGTGCCCACACAACCTCACTCCCCTTCCACTAGAATGTAAATTCCTTGAGGACAGGAAGAGTTTTTTTGTTTGTTTCTGAGGGGCAATCTCTCTGTGTTGACCATGGAGATCTCGTTACTTCCTGTTATCTGTCTTGTGGGCTCCCACCTCAGCCTCCCTAGTAGCGTGGACTACAGGCACGCACCACTGCACCTAGTAGGAACAGTCTGTGCTTCTCTTTGCTTGCTTTCTGCCAAAGCATGAAGATCTCTTTCTGTAGCAGAAGGAACACTGGGCTGGGAGGCAGGAAAACCAAGCTCCAGGCCTGGCTCTGTGGGCAGCTCAACGTGTGACTCTGAGCCAGCCAGTCCCCAGGTCTGGGCCCAGTAACTGAGTGTGGCTCACTGTGACCCGCTTCCCCTTTCAAGGTTCTAAGAACTCTGCTCATCTTCTCTCCTAACCCAGGCTGGCCCAGGGGTACCACCCATGAACGGGGCCACCCCACAACTGTTCCTGGAAGGTGGAGCCCTGGAGTCCCAGCACCTCACTCGCCGCTGCCTATCAGCTATTGAATCTACAAAACAGCTAGAGGAAGAGGAGGAAGAGGAGGACGAAGAGGAAGAGGAGGAGGAGGAGGAGGAAAGTCAGAAAGACGAGAACAGCTTCTATGCTGTACCTCTCCGAAGGACAGGGGCTTTTCGTGCCCACAGCCATGACCCCTTCAAAAGACATAGCTGGGGGCCCGGCAGGGAGTACCAGGACCCAGTGATCAGGTAAGCCTCAAGGATCTCCTGTCCTCTCCACCCATCCCTGGGCCCTGCAGCAAATTGTTGAGAAGAAATATTCCAGTGTCCTTGTCCCTTCCTCAAAGAGGTTTCCCTAGAGCTCTCTGTATAAACCCAGCACTCAGGAGCCTGAGGCAAGAAAATCTTGATTTCCAGGCCAGTCTAGGCCACATACTGAGTTCAAGGCTAGCCTGTACTACACAACAAGACCCTGTCACAAACAAATGAACAAGGGGCTGGGGAGATGGCTCAGTAGAATAAGTGTTTGCCTGGCAAGTGCAAGGGCCTGTGTTCAACCCCCGGTTCCACCAAAAACAACAACAAAAAAATGAACAAACAATGCCAAGGATTAAGGAGATTGGGCCTGGGCTTGGGTTTTTAATCCTTCCTCTGGAAAATTGATTTGGGGTTTGGGCTTCTCCCCCTTTTTAAAAATAATAGCTGACAGTTATATACGTGGTTAGTATCCAAGTGTATTTCTTTATTTATTTGATATAGGGTCTTAATACACAGCTCCGACTCATAGTGATCCTCCTGTCTCAGCCTCCCCAGCGCTGGGATTATAGGTGTACACCACTACTCCTCGTTTCAGTGGCCGGCTCGGCACAGCAGGCAGTACTGGGGATTGATCCAGGGTCCTTGCACTTGCCAGGCAGGCACTTAAATGATTGAGCTATCTCCCCAGCCCTCCCCTCTTATTTATTTATTTATTTATTTATATATTTTTAATAATTTTATTGAGAACGGGGCCAGGGAGATGGCTCAGTAGAATAAACGCTTCCCTGGCAAGCGCAAGGGCCTGAGTTCAATCCCTGGTTCTGGAAAAAAAAATAAAATAATAATAATAATTTTATTGAGAAACAGCAATGAGACAGTTTCAAAATCGATTAGTAGCACAGTTTCACTACTTAATACACTGCATATTGTTGTCTTAGTTTCCCTTCTTTTTTATTAAGTCATTGGTACATTTTAGGTATACATAATGATTGCATTCATTATAGAGAATTTGCATCTGTATATGATATAACTTGATTTTATCCCCATCCTCCTACCCTACCTTCAACTTTTGGTTCTATGAGACAAGGTCTTGCCATGCAGTTCAGGTTGGCCTCAAATTCACGCTGTAGCCCAGGCTGGCTTCAGACTTCATGCTGATCCTCCTGCCTCAGCCTCCTGAATGCACGGATCACAGGTGTGCATCAGCTGCTCAGCTCTTTCCCTGGAGAATTAGAACCCAGTTTACCATAAGCCTTGAGGAGGATGGACCCGCCTTCCAAAATGGGACTGTCTCTAGTGTCCCTAACTCCTTCTTTTCATCTAATGTCTGTGGGAGTGGGAATGTAAAGCTGGGGTAAGTTATAGGACATTTATTTGTCTGTTTTTTGCATTACTGGGGATTGAATCCAGGATTTTATTTATTTATTTATTTTTGGTAGTATCAGGTATCAAACTCAGGACCTTGCATTTGCCAGGCAGGTGCTTATGCTGCTGAGCTATCTCCCCAGTCCAAGGATTTTTATCTATTTATCTATCTATTTATTTATTTATAACCAGGAATCAATCTCATAACCTTGCACTTGCCTGGAAGGTGCTGTGCCACTGAGCTATATCCCTGGCCCTAGGTTTATTTATTTATTTATTTATTTATTTTGCGGAACTGGGGATTGAACTCAGGCCCTTGCACTTGCCAGGGAAGGACTTCTACTGAGCCATCTCCCTGCCCTTTGTGGTATTTTTGAGACAGGGTCTCACACCCAGGCTGATCTTGAACTCGCAGTGATCCTCCTGCCTCAGCTTCCTGAGTACTGGGATTATAGGTGTCCACTACCATGCCCGGCTCTGGATCCAGGATATTTTACACCACCAAGCTTTTTTATTTTTTATTTTGAAACATGATCACACAGTCACTCATATTGAGCTTGAAATTGGGATCTTCCTACCTCAGTCTTCCAGAGTTACAGGCTTTAGCCACCACGCCTGGCTGATGCTTAGCTCCTAAGGCTCCACCTCTTGCTTTGGGTTTCATAGATCCATAGGACAGTGTCAGAGCTGGAGGGAATTCAGAGCTCACATGACCCAACCTCCCCATTTTACAGATGAGAAAACTGAGGCTGGAGAACGTCAGGAGGTTTCTTGGGTGAAGTGGGCTCAGGTCTCATTCTTTCCTTCTGCTGCTTCCAGGCTGAGGCCATCCAAGATGTCTCAGACTAACCCGTACATGCTGCCATGGGGGGCAGCCACTCTCTTTCAGAGTTGTGCATATGCTTTGGCGCATCTCTTCCCCCTGCCCTGGAAAATCCCTGACCACTTCCCCAAAGACAGAGGAAGTCAGAAAGAGAAGGTGCAGGGGCCCTGGTGCAGAGTTCAGTCCTCGCAGTCCTCGTAGTCCCTGCAGGGGCCTGCTGGCCATGGAAGGGCACCATTGCTGTGTTTTGGCAATGGAGGCCGTGGACAAGTCCCCTTAGGTCTGGTGAGTGGAGCGATGTCCTCTGGCTGCTGGGCATGGCTGTCGGGCTGAGGGTGGGGGCAGAATACCCTGAATCTTAAACTGGCTTGGGTGGGAACTTGGGTAAGAAGCAAAACCCGCAAACTCAGCGTACCTTCCTAGTACCCTATGCACGGTGCCACTTGCTTCTCCAGGGCTTCGTGTCACTCACCTTTCAGGATCAGACATCAATTCTGCGCCTCGGGTCGAAAGGGAAAGCGCCCTTATTCTCCATTTAGCTGAGTAAGGGCAGAGGAAAGATCAGAAACCAGACAAGGAGCGAGAACACAGCCGGTCCTTCCCGAGAGCAGTACCCATTTTGCCCAGCAGGGGCCAGTCTTGCCCGCAGCCAATTCTGAACTCTGCCTCCACGGAGCCCTAAAGGGAGGCCAGTTTGAGTCTTAGGCTGTGCTCAGGCAACAGGAAAGGTTGGGCGGGGTGGGGGGCACCCAGCAGGGCTGGGCCAACGTGGGTTCCTCCTGGTGTCCATCACTGGCCACAGGCTACAGAGAGCAGTGGCGGCCATGTGTGTTTCAGGAGGCTGCAGGCATCGGGATGCCCAGGCCCCGAGGGAGCCCGCTCACTGCAGAGCCAAGAGGAGCTGGACACCCTCCTGGGACTACAGCAGCAGGGCGGCCAGCCCTCCCACCTGGTATGATGGACAGGTCCCACACAGGCCGCAGCCTCTCCTCTGTGCCCACCTGACCAGTTGCTGCCCTGTGCCTCTTCCGTCCTGCCAGCTTTTGGGTCTCTGTGCCCAGTGTCACTCTGACTCCATTTGTGCCCTCTGTACTCTGTCTGCTTCCCTGGTCTGTGCGCCCTGTCCCCAATTGGATCTCTGTCTCTGTCCCTGTGTTTGACTGTCTCTGTCCTTGTCCCTGTCCCTGTCTCTAAGACTCTGTGTTCCTTCCTTTCTGTGTGTGTCTCTATGCTGTGGGTGGTCTCTGTTCCTCTCTCCTTAAAAACAGCCCCTGTTCCCTTCACTGAGAACCGTGTCTGTCTGTGGACCCCAAGTTCCCCCACATGGAACTGCACTTGCTGGGATGAATCTGTGTCCTCTGAAAGAGCCACCAGTTCTTTAGCGAGAGCACTATGGCAGCATTGACGAGAAAGGACAGAGAGGCTACCCAGCTTCCCAGTTTGAGGGCCCCGAGCTGGGATGTGCGGAGGCTAAAACAGGATCTGAGAGTCCATGGGCTCTGCTGGCACTGCCGGGTGTGCTCAAGTCGCTGCCTAGGTGGGAGTCTCCACCCCAGCAGCTGAAGGCTGCCTCCCCTCCAGCTCAGCCTAGGCCCGGAGACCCCAACCCCACCCTTATTATTAGGAGAAAGAGGCTGTCAGGAAGCAGCAAGAGCACACTCTCAGCCCACCTACTTTTTCTCCATCTAAATCTGTGCACGTGTCCCTCCCCAGCCAATACACACGAGCACACACATGCCACACATGCATGCACACAAAAGCACACATTCCCACCTGCACACGTGTGTACATGCGCATGTGCGAGCATGCACACGCACATATAAAACACACACCCCATCAGGGGATAGAGTAGAAAGAACAGGATTTTGAGCAGGGCGTGGTGATGCAGAAGGATCACAAGTGCTGCAGGGGCTCACTAGCAAGACCCTATCTCTAAATAACGTATAAAAAGGGCTATGGATGCAATTTAATGTGAAGTTCAATTCTTAGTACTGAGCAAGGATTTAAAAAAAAAAAGGATTCTGGAGTCAGACTGACTGACACCTAGAACCTTCATTTACTAGCTGAACAGTTTATCTTCCTGAAAATCACAATAATAAAAACAGATCCTTTGCTTTGTTTCTTTGTTTCTTTTTTTTTTTTTTTTTTTTTTTTTTGCGGAACCAGGGATTTAACTCAGGCCCTTGCACTTGCCAGGCAAGCGCTTATTCTACTGAGCCATCTCCCCAGCCCCATCTGCTTTGTTTCTTTTTTTTTTTTTTTAAAGGCAAGCACTTTCTTTTTAAATTTATTTATTTATTTGTGTGTGTGTGTGTGTGTGTGTGTGTGTGGCCAGCTCACCCCACCTGGGGGTGGGGCTGGCTGGCATGTGGTGCTGGGGGATTGAACCACGGTCCCTGTGCTTTGCTAAGCTTGTTCTAAGTAGGTGCTTTAGACCACTGCTTTGTTTCTTGAGACAAGGTCTTGCTATGCTGCCCAGGATGGTCTCAAATCCGTGCCAACTAATTGCTTCAGCCTCTGGTATGCGTGGATTACAGGGGTTTACCACTGTACCTGGCTCTAAAGCTTATCTTTTTTTTTTTTTTTTTTTTTTGAGATAGGATTTTCTATGTAGTTCAGGCTTGTCTTCAACTTTCTGTGCAGCTCATCTGGCCTAGAACTTGCAGTTGTCCTTTGGGGACAGCCTCCCAAGTGGTAGAATTACAATGTGCATTCTTTTTTTAAATTTAATTTAATTTATTTTATTTTTTGACAGAACCCAGGTTTGAACTCAGGCCCTTGTGCTTCTGCAGGGAAGTGCTTATTCCATTGAGCCATCTCCCCAGCTCTACAATGTGCATTCTTTAAAAAAAAAAATTAGCTTTTAAGTTTGTAAATAGATTTTAAAAAGTGTATAGCCTGTTAGTTTCATCTACTTTTTTTTTTTTCAGTGCTGGGGATTGAACTCAGGACTTTGCACTTGCCAGGCAAGTGCTTATTCTATTGGCCTATCTCCCCAGCCCAGTTTCAGCTACTTTGAAGGATGAAGTAGGAAGATCACGTGAGCCTAGGAATGAGGTGAGGTGAAGTGAGGATTGCCTAAAGTTCAAGCCTGGAGTACATAGTGAGCTCAAGGCCAGCTTGAACTACCCAGCGCGATCCTGTCTCACAAAACAAAACGACTCCTAGCCCAGAAGCTGGCACACAACATGAACTGTGGTTTTGTTTTGTTCATGGTTTTGTTTTGAGACAGGATCTCCCTATGTAGTTTAAGCTGGCCTGGACTCACTAGATAGCCCAAGCTGGCTTTGAACTTGCAGCGATCCTCCTACCTCAGCCTCCGGAATGCTGGAATTACAGGCGTGCACCACCACACCCAGCTCAGAATTGTGGTTTGTTTTGATTTTCTCTTTTTCCTTTCCTTCCTTTGTAACTCTTTACCTCTCTTACACTTGTTCCTCCACCCACCCCAACATCATCTGTTCTCCTCTCCCACCCCCCCACCCCGTCCTATTTGCCTCCTGCTCTGATTCCACTTTTCCCTTCATCTCCTCTGTTACATCTTCTCCTTACTTCCTTTGGCTTTTTGTTTGGAGTTGTTTTTCTTTCTTGCTGTAATATTCCACAAAGTCCAGAGACCAAGCCCAGGATTCAGTAGACTAAACCAGAGTTTGCAGGCTGAGTGTTCATGAGCCAAATTGAGCTCCAAAATTTATTTTCTTTGGCCGCAGTGATGCTTATGCTTTTTAAAATTCAAATGTCCTTAAATGGGACTTGGACTTTCCAGTTCGCCAGAGTTATTAACACTTTCTGTTGTATGTTTTCTTATATCTTTTTCACATGATATTAAAAATGAGATCTGGGCCTGGTACACGTGCCTGTAATCTCAACAGTTGGGAGGCTGAAGCAGGAGGATTGCTTCAAATTTGAGGGCAGCCTGGATTACATAGTGAGTTATAGGCCAGCCTGGATTACCCACTCACCTCAAGACCTAGACCAATATCTTTACCTCTGCTCAGATGATCTTCTTTTCTTTTATTCTCTTGCCTTTCCATCAGAGGTGATCAACATCTTGAATTTTGTTTTTTATGTTTACTAGTAATTTCTATTTTTTTTTCCTGATACTGGGATCAAACTTAGATCTTCACACATGCTAGTCAAGTACTTTATCACCAGCCTTTTAAAACTGCTTTAACAGGGCTGGGGAGATGGCTCAGTAGAATAAGCACTTCCCTGGCAAGTGCAAGGGCCTGAGTTCAATCCCCAGTTTAGAAAAAAAAAAAAAAAAAAAAAAAAATTAACACACTAGGTATACAGTGCTGCCCATCTCTAACGGCAGCAAGTTGGGAGGCTGAGGCAGGCAAGTTTGAAGCAGTGTATTGAGACCTTGTCTCAAAATAAGATATAAAAAGGGGGGGCTGGGGAGATGGCTCAGTGCAATAAGCACTTCCCTGGCAAGTGCAAGGGCTTGAGTTCAATCCCCGGTTCCACCAAAAAAAAAAAAAAAAAAAGATATAAAAAGGGCTAGGGATCTAGCTCAGTAGTAGAGTGACTCTGAGTTAAATTCTTTTTTAAGGGCCAGGGAGATGGCTCCGTAGAAAAAGTGCTTGCCTGCCAAGTACAAGGGCCCAAGTTCAATCCCCTGTTCCACAAAAAGAAAAAAAAAGAATAAACAACTGAGCTAACCTGCAAGCCCCAAGTTAAATTCTTAGCAATGAAAAAAATTGTTTTAGTGTAAAATGTGCCTTACTGATTAGTATGTCTTTTTTCTGAGTTGTGTTTATTTTTTAAAGATTTATCTATTTTTTTGGTACATGTGGTACTAAGGACTGAAGCTGGTCCTTGAACTTGCCAGGCAGGCACTTAGACTGGTGAGCTATCCCCTCACCCCTTTTTTCTGAGTTTTAAAGAAAGGATTTCATGTTGTTCAAAATTTCATATAATTTGTATTTTTACTTAGCATTGATTTTTCATTTTTATTTGTGCTGCAAATATAATCTGTTCATTTAAATTCCATTCTTCTGTAGCCAGGCAAGGTGGCACATATCTGTAATCCCAGCACTTGGGAAGCCGAGGCAGGAGGATCATTGTGAGGTTCAGACCAGCATGGGCTACAAAGTGAGCTCAAGGCCAACCTGAGCTACATAGCAAGAACCTGTCTTAAAAAGATAAAATAATGGGCTGGTGAGATGGCTCAGTGGTCTGAAGCACCTACTTAGAACAAGTTTAGCAAAGCACAGGTACCACAGTTCAATCCCCCAGCACCACATGCCAGCCAGCCCCGCCCCCTAGTGGGCTGAGCTGGCCACACACACACACACACACACACACACACTAAATTAAAAAAAATTAAAAAAAAAAGATAAAATAATAACAACAAATTTAATTCTTCTATTCATAGATATTTAGGTCATTTTCTTTCTTTGTTATTATCTTATTTTCTTTCTTTCTTTCTTTTTTTTTTTTTGGCAGAACCAGGGATTGAACTCAGGCCTTTGCACTTGCCAGGGAAGAGCTTATTCTACTGAGCCATCTCCCCGGCCCTTATTTATTTTCTTGTTGCTGAGACAAAAGAACCAA